TTCTCCACAATTTAAAGAATAACACCCGAAAGAAAGCTAAAGAAATCATATCGGCAAACAAATAAAAAGAAAACCTGTAAACATTTCCTCAATCTCTTGAGAATTTTGAGATTGAAGTTCCGATATCTGACTTGCGCGAGATTATGATCAATCCAATGATAGGCATTGACAAAGTCTATAGCTGAACTCACATTTGGCGGCATTCCAGGGTTAGGTTGGGGCATCGCTACTCCTGGGGCGTTCATAACGGGAGGAGGTTGGTAAGCCTGAAAGATTTCAGACATTTAATCGACATACGAGATAAATCAATAACTAGTTCAACAAAAATTCGATAAAATAATGCGATGACGCGCTCAATTACTGCAATAAGGACATGCGGAACAAGAAGAAAAATCAAGCGCTTTTATGAAAACATTACCTGGTAATGGGCTTTTTGCACAGCCTCGTCATATAACGCTAGAACATCTCGTATCGCCATGTCCACCTGAAAATAGCTTTAAAACATATAACAACCAAATGGAAAAATTCCAAACTAAACTTGATCTCTTGTTATAGAAATGAGAATTGGAAATGGATGCTTCCGCGGAACCCACAAAAACTCAAGCTAACCTGAGAAAGAGCATTCACTTGCGCATCAATGGCTGCTAATCGAGCGTCAATCAGCGGAGCTTGTGCACGAGATGCTTGTTCAATCTTAATGTGCAAAATTTGATAGGTGGTTCCGAGAGACACTCAAATGTCAGCACACAAGAGAATACGGCAAAAAGTAATTTGAAGAAGCATGTCAAAACTTACTCTAGCCAGCTCTGGCGGATCAGGAGTATCACCAGTAGGATCACAGTCTTCAAGCATTTGGATACAACGCAACAATACTGACTCGTCAATGGTAGCTGGGGCAGCCGGAGCTGCTGTTGCTACGGAAGTGGGTTCAGGCTGCAAGTTAAGAGTATTGAAAAGCAAAAATAATTATATTTCCCAACAAACAGCAAGTGATGACTGAGCCTTTCTGCACTTGTTTGCTCTTTAACACATCTACTCATCTAATCGCTAAAACCCCACATCTATGAAGTTCTTAGCCCAGCTCATGTATCATTACTATTCGGCTGACAATGCATTTCTGGTAGAAGAAACTAACCTTTACTTCCGAGAGGTCCGACGTAACAAAACTGGAGGGAAAAAGTCCCTGCTGGACACCGATGCGGCCACACCACCAATTTGGATTACTGAAGAATGAAGCTATTGAAACTCGCAGGATGTGGTATCAAATTTATGAACAAGCAACAGAGGGATGAAGAAGACCTGTCGTCCGTGACTGTAATGAGATCACCGCTTACGAAAGAAAGTTCATTGTCTTCGGCAGCCTCAAAGTCGTACAGCGCACGAACCGTACGCTCGCTAGTCCTGCAATAGAAAATGCTACAAACTAAATGTTCGCATCTCAAGCAATCGCGGCACAAGGAGGGATTTGATTTGAATATAAAACAGAAAGGTAATTGACAATTTTGGCTTGAATTTTCTATTTTATTTCGTAGGTACTGAACAATTTAGCTGCTCTAGAAATACCCGCTTCTGAATGAAAAAGTTGCTGTTAGAATGGATAAGAGGAGTTTTGCTCAAACTAGAGTTCGATGAAATCGTCAAAGCATCAATTGAATCATCTTGTTTCACAGAGGTACAGAGGGGAGCTTTCAACACGGAACCGCACGAGTCAGGATATGCGCCAGGTACGGAAAAAGGCTGGCTCGTTTACTGAGTGATCAATGTTGAGAAAGGTAACACGGACAGCAGATGAATTTCCACGGTTCTGAGGGCTTTGTAAGTGATTGTGGGATTCTCAAATCTGCAGCAAAGCACTACAAGTTCGACGGCAGTGCAGCTGGCAACAGGAATCAGACAAGAAGCCGTTACGCTATCCATTCTCTTATTTCTTATTATTCTTTCTTACCCTTATTATGCAGAAAAGAGCATCTGGCCCACAAGGACACATTCATAATCGGTAATACGATCGTAACGATCACACAGTCGTAAGTCGCACGGCATAGTCGCGTCGTCAAACAAGCCAACGATCGCAAAGTGTCGCACGAAGCATTAGAGATGCGTATCGATCGTAAGTGTCGCACGATCAATACGCAGCTACTATTCCACACTACAATGGGACTTTCGAAATACCATCACGCGCAGTCACGTGTTGTCTGGGTTTGCATTGGGTGACCGCGTCGCCTTCCATTTGCGACCGCGGTTTATGCGACACTTGCGGTCGTTGCTGTCGTCCGACCGACTATGCGTGCGGCCTAAGATACGTAATCGTCCAATACTAATACAAGTATGACGAACGATATGTACACATCCTATGATGTGCGATCGTTACTACCAACTATGAATGCGCCCACATATGCCTAATAAATCCATAAAGCGCTCTATTACAATATGAAATAAGCAAAATACAAGAGAACAAGAGCAAAAGCATGTACAAATATGACAAAGTGTCTTACTTGTTACTCGTTCCATTGGTGGAAGGATATGAAGTGTTCAAGGACTGGTATAGTTTGCTGGTTTTTGGAGCCTTGTCGGCTTCTTGCAGTGATAGGGCTATAGCTTTTGCTAAAGCGTCTTCCTCTTCCTGAAAAATGACACTGCAGTATTCAAGCGCTTTCAAACATTGAGCAAGTTCAATTCGGAATAATATAATACAATTAATACCGCTTGAATGTCCCGAGTAAGGCTCGATTTTTTCGGTTCACTTGATGAGAACGAGTAGCCATCCGCAACCAAGTTTTTGTAAAGTGAGGCAACAAGTGAAAGAGATGCATCAGATTTGCACTCATTTTCCACCCATTTCTGGATCATCATTCTTGTCTTTTCCGCAACAAGGCGAGTACTCTGAGACAACAAGATTAAAAATGAACTCCCTTGGAACTTTCAGGAACTTAGGAATCATAATTACAAATTTCCGATTAAATTTCCAATTAGACTTCAGACATGACTGTTGAAACGAAGCTAAGAAATGTCTCATCACCAGCCCTGATCATGCTTTCTAAATTGCATAATAAGTAAGTAAAATTAAAGCATTATCATTCTCAGTGTTAATTAAAACTAGCAGAAACAGGCACTAGTGCAGCTCAAAACTGATAACGATGCAGTAATGTGAACGTAGAACATCTCGCAAATTTAATGCTAAACCGAGGGTATTTCAGACGTTACGCGGGCGAAGTCCATCCATAAAAA